TTTGGGGTGACCTCATCTGCACACCACTCAACAAGGTCTCACTGCTGACCAGTGAGGTGTCCATGTGGCCCAGTAAAGCATCTGTGTGGCAATGAGGCATCTGTACAGCAAGGTACCTCCATGGCACAATGAGGCATTCTGTTGCCTAGCAAGGTGTCTCTGTTGTCTGGAGAGGTGTCCCTGTGGCTCAGCAAGGCATTTCTGTTGTCCAGTAAGGCATCCGTGGAGCTCACAAGGCATCCTCACTGCACTATGAGGCTACCACTTGCCTTGCTGAGGAGTCCAGGCAGCCAGGTGAGGCAATTGCATGGCCTGGCAAGGTGACCCACCGCTCACTAAAGCATCCAGACTGCCTGGCGAGCCATCCATGCTGCCTGTGAGGCGTCCTCGTGACCTGATGAGACATCCCTGATGCTTGGCAAGGCATCTGCCTAGCCTGGGGAGGTGCTGATGTGTCCATGCTGCCTGATGAGGTGTTGCTGTGGCCTGGTGAGATGTCTGTGTGGCCTGCTGAGACATCCCTGCTGCTTGGAGAGGTGCAGGCATGTCCCAGACAGGTGTCAAGGAGTCCCTGTTGCCCAGTAAGGCACCCTTCCAGCCTATTGAGGTGTCCCCACTGGCCAGAGAGCCAAGCTCATGTTAGCAGCCCCCAGGTGCATATAGGTGCCATAGCAGTGGGTGCCACCAGACCCGCTGCACTCAGCCATCCCCTACCAGTCCCAGCCCTGCCCGGGCTGTCCTTGCCACAGAGAGCAGGCAGCGGGCAGGAGGCAGCACCGGGGCCAACCAAGACTGCAGACCCCCCGGGTGTCCTTGTGTCCCCGTGGCCGTGGGGCCCAGCCTATGCAGGCTCCCCAGGCCTTGGTCTGCCCTCCATGCCCCGGTTGAGGGCACAGCTGCTGGCAGGGAAGTTGCTGGGCCCCCCTCCCCAGGGACACACCAGGGCGCTCCCTAGAGCCCCCATCACTCCAGGATCCCCTCTTGCCCCTAGGATTCGCCCCTCCTCGCCAGTTCCTCCCTTCCCCCCACATTTCCCCCCTCCCCCCAGGACCCTCCTCTCCCCACGCTCCCCTCTCCCAGCCCTCCTCCCCGCGCGCATGCGCACCTCAACGCGGCTCCCGCGCTCCCCCCCTGCGCACGCGCCGGGGGGAGAC